TAATATGTATATGTATATGTATATGTATATGTATATGTATATGTATATCATATATATGTAGATGTAGTTGCACATATGTATATGTATATGTATATCATATATACGTAGATGTAGTTGCACCCTGACTATTATATATATGTAGATGTAGTATATATAATTATTGATGCAGTTAATCAGCCAGGGATGCAGGCTGGGTTCTGAGGATTGATTTGGAGCAGAGGATTTTTGCAAAAATAAAAATTACAAAGAATCTCAGGCCCAGAGCCTGAGATCCAAATATTATATGTATTATATTATAAAGTTATACACACACACACACACACACACACACACACACACATGTATACACATGTAAATCACTTAAAAGTGGTGCCAAACTGCATTATTCCTTACAGTATAATAATAAAATATTAATAAGAAATAGTGTGTTGGGGGGGAAATATGAGATTGAGAGAGAAAGAGAGGGGAAAGAATAGTGAAGCAGACAATATTTTTTTTTTAAAGAGCCAATTATGATCTCTTAAAATGGCAGATAATATTTTAAAATAAATAAATAAAATTGGGCTTTGTAGTAGCTCCTGGCTTTTTGTTAGGGTGCATCTCTTGCACTGTAGGAAATAATGCAGTTTGGCACAACTTTTATGTGATTTGGCACCATCCTGTGGGATTCTGGGATTTGTAGTTTGGTGGTGGAGGGGGTGCATCTACAATTGTAGAGAATAATGCAGTTTGACACAATTTCAAGGGCTGTGGATGCATTTACGATTGTAGAGAATAATGCAGTTTGACACCATTTCAAGGGCTGTGGATGCATCTTATGGAATTCTGGGATCCGTAGTTTGGTGGGGGCTACTTGGACTTCTCAGTGGGCACCTGCACTGGAAATAATGGAGTTTGGCCCCACTTTAAGGGCTGTGGATCCATCCTATGGAACCCTGAGATTTGTAGTCTGGTGGTAGGGGCTACTTAGACTTCTCTGGGTGCATCTCTACTGTGAAACTAATGCAGTTTGACACCACTTTTAAGTGATGTAGCTCTGTCCTGTGGAATCCTGGGATTTGCAGTTTGGTGGTAGGGGCTATTTACACTTCTTACTGTAGGATGGTGGTGGTGAACCTATGGCACGCGTGTCAGAGGTGGCACTCGGAGCCCTCTCTGTGGGCACACGCACCATTACCCCAGCACAAAGTTTGCCAGAGTTTGTTACTAGAAAGCCAGAGGCATGTGGCACTTTGTGATAAATTAGTGGGGTTTGGGTTGCAGTTTGGGCACATGATCTCTAAAAGGTTTGCCATCACTGCTGTAAAAGATAATACAGTTTGACACAACTTTAGGTACTTTTGCTCCATCCTATGGAATTCTAAGATTTGTAGTTTGGTGGTTTGAGCGTTGGACTATGACTCTGGGGACCAGGGTTTGATTCCCTGCTCAAGCGTAAAGACTATTGGGTGGCCTTGGGCAAGTCACACTCTCTCAGCCCCAGAGGATGGCAATGGCGAACCCCTTCTGAAGAAACTTGCCTAGAAAACCCTATGATGTCTTAAAGCCTTAGTGTTGTTGTAAGTAAAAAAATGACTTGGAGGCACTCAACAACAACAAAAAGAGACATCACCTGCACTCGTTTTGTAGAGAAGGGGAAAGACTTTGTGAAACTACAA